ACAAAAAAAAAAAAAAAAAAAAAAAAAAAGGTCTGAAGCATGTGACTTAGCGATGTGAGGAATGACACTGAGGAAATTACTGGAAAAGTCCATGAGTCCCTATGGACAGGGGCACTCACTGCGCTGTGATGTGTGTAACAGCAAAAAATAGACAACAGCCTAAGAGGTCAACCACGGCGCCTCAGTTACATTAGATAAACCACGCTACCCTGCAGATGGCGCGACACATGTGTGGGCCTGGAGAGAGGCCGTGACCTATGACAGCAACAGCGCTGATGACCACAGATGGCCACATGGCCGTTGCCCGGTGCAGAGTATACGATTCGCACACAGACCCACTCACTCCTATACACGCACACCTGGCAATGTGTGGCCAGAGTGCAGGCTGACGGGGCAGAAGTTTGCTTCTGGAATGCCCCGTTACATTTTTTCTTCTATGTGCATTTTTTTCCTTTTCTGCTTAGAACATAGCTTACTTCTGTAACGGGAGAGAGAAAGTGTAATGCCTCCAGGGTCAGTTCAGATGAAGTTCCAGCTCCTGGTGTGGCATTCAGGCCTCACGGCCACAGTCACAGAACTCAGACGCCCTCCTGGAAGGCAAACAGTGAGGAAGCCGCCAACCTGGGGGTGAGTGCGCAAAGCTGACTGGAGACCGCTGCTCTCAACTATCAACCAGCACAAAGGGATTGATTCTGTCTTCCAATACTTACAAACTTCTCTGCGTTTTCACTCTGCAAACTCCGGTCTGTGCGAACACACGTGACAAAGCAAAGCAGGAGAGAAGACAATACCCTGGGGGGAGGGAAGTCCACGGGGGCCCTGCAGACCAGCCCCACCTGCTGACGTCCAAGCACGGACATGACCAGGCCAAGCTGCCCGCCACCAGGCCACCCCCTCCTCGCTGCTTAGCCGGAGAGGGAACGTCCCTCATCATTCCTGACACACAGAAGCTGAGTTTCAAGGGGGCCACAGAGACTCCTCCAAAAGCCCCATCCTTCCATACTCTCTCCTGGTTTGACTTGAAGGTCGGTCCAAGAGAACCGTTTTAGTTTTGCTCTGTAATTCCCCCAGAATTAGCACAGGAGTGCGAGACACTTCCTGCTCTAGAAGGCACAGAGCTGGGCAGCTTCCGGGCCTTGGGAAACACCAGGCCCCAAGAGGGCAGTGAGGGTGGGCCTGGAGGGGTAGCACCCACACTCCCCGCAGCAGCCTCAAGGCTCAGCAGCTTCACAGAGGGGCCGAGCCAGCCCTCACCCCCAGCAAGTCCTGAGCTCCACCACCCTTTGCATGATGGATGTAAGCTAGATAGATGATAAATACATAGTTAGATGGTAGATAGGTAGACAAACAGATTGGATAGGTGATAGATACATGATAGGGTTAGGTAGATAGATAGATGATAGAAACATACACACACACATACACGCATGAAAGATAATTAAACAAATACATACATACGTACAAGCAATACAATCAGAAGGCCAGGCCTCCGCCTACCCTCCCAGCATTTCTCAGTTCCACCTGCAGCCTGAGCTGTGTCCTTTGCCAACTTACACTGAAGTAACACACACCCATTTAGGACAAGCTGACACCATCCATAAGCGTAAGTTTGTCAATAAAGAACGAACTCCTTGAAGGCAGGCCCTCTATGCCTTCCAGTACCTGTCCCCATCACCTAACTGGATGACAGGGGCTGGAACTGCCACATACACAGCGACTGTTCACCCCAGCCTGCCGGTGAGGCTCCTGGCCACTCCTTAGGTGAGAAGCACGCGGGGAGGTGGGCACAGCAGAAGCCTAGCGTGGAGGTGGGCTGAGGGACATCACATGAAGGGGATGCCAATCAGGGGGGCGTGGCCAGTGCCAAGGCCCTGCGGTGGGACTGTCTGCATCTCAGGGACCAGCAAGGGAACCAGTGAGGCCAGAACAGGTACACAGGAGGGGAAGAGTGAGGAGGGGATCTCTAGGACGAAAAAGGGAGGCCCTCCGGCGAGTCAGGGCCCCAGAGAGGCTGGAGAGAAAGCCCCTGCCTCCTTTCCTCGCCGTGCTGCCCCTGCACCCCACACCAGCCAGCCGTGCCTGGGGCGACAGGGCCTGGGTCCATCGACCACACAGCCCCCCGGGCTTCACTATGGAAGGCAGCAGTGTTCCACCAGCACTGTCCTGTAAGAGGCCACAGGTGACTGAGGTCAGGAAGCAAACCCACTCATGGTCGGCTACCTGGTTCCCAGCAGGAAGCCCAGGACGGAGCTGTGATTCTCCTCATTTCATGGTTTGGGAAAAAGCATTCAGAAGTACTATTAGGTGTCTAGAATCACACAGTTAAGATGCAGTAGCAACTTCTGACACCAAAATTCTGGACTCTTTCGATCCCCCAGCCCCCAGCGGTCCACAGCCCATCCTGCTCAGCCTGTCTCTGGGTCAGACTGGAATCAGTGAAGTTAGCAGAGCTTTCCCCTGGGGAGCTAGTCTAGCCCTACGCCAGGAGGATGGAGCAACCGTGAGCAAGTCGCCACTTCTAAGCCAGTTTCTGAGATTTGACGTGCATGAAATCCTGCAACGGGAGAAAACTTCATTCTGGGGCTGTATCTGGAACCAAGCAGATGATACGCAGGGGACGGGACCCAGGATACACTGGATAGAAGCCCCTTGGCTGCCCGGGGAGCTCTGCCATGAGCAGATAGCGAGGGGCACGCCCCACGTCCAGTGGAAGGGGCCTGACCATGCCCAAACACCGTGCTTGTCAGGAAGGTGACATGTGATGTCTCTGTGAGTCTTTACTTGGAAGCAAAGAATTTATCTACCTTTGGGGCTAAAAAGCCAAAGTCTCCCTTTATCGCCACAGTATATTTCATGCCTTAAGAATAACTGAGAGGGCTTCCCCGGTGGCGCAGTGGTTGAGAGTCCGCCTGCCAATGCAGAGGACGTGGGTTCGTGCCCCAGTCCAGGAAGATCCCACATGCAGCGGAGCGACTGGGCCCGTGAGCCATGCCCGCTGGGCCTGCGCGTCCAGAGCCTGTGCTCCGCAACGGGAGAGGCCACAACAGTGAGAGGCCCGCGTACCGCAAAAAAAAAAAAAAGAATAACTGAGAACCAACGTACAAAAGTTTCTTGAGGACAGTCCCTTGCTCATGAGAAACCCTGCATCCTGAGCTCGTGGAAGTCTAAAGAAGCCTCTCTACTTGTAGACCCCTGGCCCCCAGATCTGTGCTGCAAACGCCTTTTCTCCTGCTGTTTTGTAAGAAGAGAGCTGTCCGCGAGCCTTCCTGGGGAGCCTTCGGAGGCTGAGGTCTGCAGGCCACCACCGCTCTCCGTAGACCTGTGCCAGCGCCCCAGGTGAAAGCAGCACAGCACCTCCCATGTTCCTCCTGGTCTCCAGGGCGATGCAGCACCGTCCCCACCTGCCTCTGCCCTGCCCAGCCTCCTTCACCTGTGTCCCCTTTGGCACATGCTTATCACAGCTCTCAACTTCTAAATGTGCTAAGAAAAATAAGGGCAAAGGGAAGAGACACAGGTGGAATCCGTGCTAAAGGTTAAACATACGAAAGGTAACCCACAAAGCCTGGGTTGCTCGAGGGGCTGCTTCTTCTTAAAGGTGCTGCTTGAGGCCCAAAGCTCATCTGCTTAGACCACTATGTAGTCCTGGGACCCCAATGAAGTCACTGGCCTCCCTGATAAAATGACAGCTTTGGATCCAGGGCTTAGAAGGTCTGGCGCAGCCCTGCAAACCCCGAGTCCACAGATCCAAAACAGAGAGGAGTGAGCCATCT